CCCCCTCCCGCCTCGGCCCGCGCCCCCGCCCACTCCACTCAGAGCGCGCGGCAGCGGGCAAAACAACACGTGACCGCCGCCTCACGCGGCGGCCGCTGCGGATCTTGCTACCGGCTCAGTGGAGGGGCGCGCGTGGCCACCCGTAGAGGTGTGTGAGGGAGGGGGCGGCGGGCCCCGGAGGCGGAGCCACTTCCAACTCGGCGGAGACTTTCTTGCTGAATTTCTGGGCCTGTGGGCCACAGGAGGATCGATGGGAGGACCGAAGAGAGGAGGCGGAGCTCTCTGGCCACGCTGATCTTAAGGAGGAATCCAAGAAGGCAAGAGGGGGCGGGAGAGGACCGGCAGGGACAGGGACAGAGAAGACACAGGCCAGTTCAGCGGGTTGAGCGGGGGCGCCACAGTCGGGGCTCGATTAGCTGGAGGGGGCGGGGTGCAAGCGGCACTGGTGGCGTCGGGGAGCGGCGCTGGCACTATCGCTGGACCGTTTGTTTGTTTATTTGGGATTCGAGAGCCAGGTGAAACGGTTGCAGGACTCTGATTGGCTGGGATAGGAGCCAATGGGAGGGTAGAGCAGGAAGGCTGACTCGAATTCATTAATTTGGCGGGAGGGAGGGGAGCGAGGGGCGAGGGGGCGTGGCTAGAGTCCTGGAGTGGCTTCGCTGTTTGCTCGTCGCGCGCTCAGGCGGTAAACAGCCCTCGCTCGGCAAGTAGCTGTTAATGATGGTGATAAACTGGTACAAATCCCAGAACCGTGGTGATCCGGGGACCGAATCAGGCGCCCTCTTACTCTCTGCCGCTCACATAAATGCTCTATTCCTGTCACAGTCTGATCCACTCCCTCCTGTCTTGCTGGGCGGACTGAGCTTCTTGGAAGAAAGTGTCTGCACCCGATGAAAACGTGTTAACGACCAGAACTCTCAGACCTGCCGCCTTCCGCGCTGCAGGGATTCCCGAGCCCGTTCCACCCCTGACAAAAGCCCGCGACTCTAGGGCACACAGATGATAGCGATGCCTTCAAAATAAACATAATCTTCAATCAAAGCCCATTTCTAGCCCACGAATCACAGGTTCGCTAAAGATGGTGCTTCTGGCTATTTGATTAATGATGACTATGAAAGCACAAATTTGGGGACTGCAAAGTATACAGCCATATTGAAAAAATCGGACTCGATTCTTATTGAAATAGCCAGTAGTGAGCTGTAATATTTTCTTGTGTGAGATGCTTTGAAAGGTGCCTTTAAAATAATCTCCAGATATTAACTTTTCCTTTCCTTGAGCGAAACTAAAAAACTTTAAGAACAAAGAACCATACTGAATATATATTGTAGAATATATTTCACAGCCTTCGTGTCTTTGTTGCATTACAGCCTACACGTTGACATCGCAAAAGTAAGAATTACCTTTGCCTTCCTTGTTTATGGAAAAACTGCTGGAGTGTAAATGCAAACTCCCGAAGTCAATCAGTCTCTCTCCCTCCCTCCCTCTCCCCCCCTTTCCCCCTCTTCCCCGCTCTACCTCCCACCTTCAAGTCTTCCCTCCCCCTTCTAGTTTGTCTTTGACTAGGATTTCAGACTCTTAATGGGTGGAGATGTGTCCTGAGGTGTCAGAGGAGTGACCACTTTTGCAAAGAGGAACGGGGGAGGAAGGGGAGACATATGGTATTTCTCTCTAAAAGAATGGAATGCCAGTTCACCTTTGCCCTAGAGATAATACTGCAAAGAACATTATTTATAAAATGTAACAGTAAACTAGGCAATGTATAAATCATAAAACTAGACCTCATCTCTGCCCTCTTAAGAATTAGCTCTCTGTTAGAACATATGTGGCTTTTTTGATGCTCTAATTTTGGAGGAAATGTATACGTATTGGTTTTGGTTGTCTCCAAAATATTAGAAACAATCATTAACATCCCCTCTGCTGCCACTGGTTTCCAAGTGTAGTATATTCACAGGTGCTGGAATCAGATAGAATTTGTAAAAGAAGCTGGAGGCAGAATAAGTGTAGATGCTGAGAGAGCCCTGACTGGGGCAGCTACCTACGTATTTTAGCTGCCTAGTCACATATGTATAAGATTCACTACACTTACAACGAAAATGATAGTGAATACTCTCCTTTGGAATTTTTTATAAGAATTATTTTATAATTCTTTTCAAGTACAAGTTTTCTTTTAAAGAAAGAAATGTGACAAATATGGTAACACATTTGAAAGTGCTTTGAGTAATAACATAACATTCTAAGATATATGGAAAACATTAAAATACATACAAAATGAAGTTTGGAAAGTACTTAAGAGATTGAAAAATCATGTCCTTTTTTCTATTCATGTAGAGTTTTACATAGAGCAGTAAGCTTACAATGCATTTAATTTTGCATCCTGTTCTTTTCACTTAGCATTACAAGAGAACATTTCCCCATATTATTGTGGATCAACCTAAATATCATTTAAAATGTAGTATAATATCCCACACAGCTACTGCATATTAATGTACTTAATCATCTCTCTGCTTTGGGGTATTTTGCTGGTTTTCAATTTTTTTCAATATTATAAATAATGCTACAATGACTATCTTGTATCTACAGTTTTTTATGTTTAAATTATTCCCATGAGCCGGGCTCGGTGGCTCAGCCTGTAATCCCGCGCCTTGGGAGGCTGAGGTGAGTGAATTGCCTGAACCCGTGGGTTCGAGACCCGCCTGGGCAACTTGGCGAGACCTCATCTCTACAATAAATCAAAAATTAACTGGGTGA